TCGGCCCCGGCACGAGACCTGCTGGGGGTACTACGACGTGAGCGGGCAGTGGGACAAGGAGTTCGAGTGCAACAACAGCCTTACGGGCTTCCGCTACTGCTGCGGCACCTGCTTCTACCGCTTCTGCTGCAACAAGCGCGCCGAGAAGCTCAACCAGAGCCTGTGCCGCAACTACAAGAGCCCCGAGTGGGCCCACCCCACCACCGCCAGTGGGGCGCTGCCCGCCGACGGCAGCAACGGCGCCGACGGGGACGCCAACAAGTACGACCCGGACAAGGACAGCACCAACGCCACCGTCTACATCTCGTGTGGGGCCATCGCCTTCGTGCTCATCGCCGGCGTCTTCGCCAAGGTGGCCTATGACAAGGCGCGGCGCCCGCCCCGGGAGATGAACATACACAGGTGCGATCCTCTCCCTGCTTCCAGCACCCCTTCTGTCTAGGGACACCCTCCTCACCAAAGCTTCCTCCTTTGCACTGCCTCTCCAAGTGTTTCCCCTTTGCACCATCTGTCCAAGGGTTTCCCCGTTGCACCACCCATCCAAGGGCTTCCCATTTGTGCAGCCTGTCCAAGGGTTTCCCCGTTGCATGACCCGTCCAAGAATTCCGCCTTTGAACTGGCTGTCCAAGGGTTCCCCTTTTGCACCACTGTCTGAGGGTTCCCCCACTGCACCACCTGTCCAAGGAGTCCCCTCGTGAACTACCTATTCAAGTCTTTATCCTTTGCACTGGCTGACCATGAGTTTCCCCCTTGCACCACCCTTCCAAGGATTTCCCCTTTGCGATGGCTGTCTAAGGGCTCCCCTTTTGTGCCACCTGTGCAAATGATCTTCCATTGCGCTATCGCTTCAAGGGGTCCCCCCTTGAACCACTCATCCAAGGGTTTTCTCCTTTGCGAGGGCTGTCCAAGAGTTCCCTCTTTGCACCACCCGTCAAAGGATTTTCCCTTTCCACCGTCTATCCAAGGGTTCCCCCCTTGCGCGGTCTGTCCAGGGACAACCCCACCCCTTGGACCATCCCTCCCGACCCCCTCCCACGGCCCATCTAGGGCCCCGTCCTGGTGCCCCGCTCAGCCCTCCCATCCTCGGGGCAGCACCGTGGGACCTCTCCCCTTCCCCTCCGCGGCGCCCCT